TCTTTTTCTCTCTCTCTCTCTCTCTCTCTCTCTCTCTCTCTCTCTCTCTCTCTCTCTCTCACTCTCTTCTTTATGATATTACTATGATGACTTGAAATGAGTTTTGGGGGAAAATTCTAGTTCCATCTAAAATTTTCCAACGGCGTCGACTTCGGCGGTGCAAATTTCCTAACGTTCATCATCGATGGTGAAGAAAACTGCGATCTTAAAGATGATGATGACGAGTTGCATCGCCAACCCCCTTAAGTTTACATATTATTATATATTTTTTAAATCGATGAATTAAGATTAAAGTAGAGTATGTAAATTTATATATTATTGCTATTTCACTATAATAAGTTTGTTGTTAAGCTTATGAGTTGATGGTGAAGGAAGGTTACATGTTGGTTTTGAAGGTTACGAGTTGGTTGTGAAGTTTACGAGTTAGTTGCCAAGGGTACATGCTGGTTGTGAAGCTTACGAGTTGGTTATGAAAGATTAGGAGTTGGGTGTGAAGGTTATGAGTTGATTGTGAAGATTACATATTGTTTGTTAATGTTATGAGTTTGTTGTAAAGAATATAAGTTGGTTGTGAATGTTACACCTTGGTTGTCAAGGTTACACATTGGTTATCAAGGTTACGAGTTGGTTGTGAAGGATATGCATTGGGTGTGAAGGTTACGAGTTGGTTATTAAGGTTATGCGTCGGTTGTGAAGGTTATGAGTTGGTTGTGATGGTTACGAGTTGGTTGTGATGGTTATGAGTTGGTTGTGACGGTTATGAGTTAGTTGTGAAGAAAAGTTGCGTATTGGTTTTAAAGGTTACGAGTTGGTTGTGAAGTTTATGAGTTAGTTGCTAAGGGTACATGTTGGTTGTGAAGGTTACGAGTTGGTTGTGAAAATGTTACGAGTTAATTGTGAAGGATATGCATTGGTTGTGAAGGTTATGAGTTGGTTGTGAATGTTACGAGTTGGTTGTGAAGGATATACGTTGGTTGTGAAGGTTACGAGTTGTTTGTGAAGGTTACGAGTTGTTTGTGAAGGATATGAGTTGGTAGTGAATGATACATGTTGGTTGTGAATGTTACACGTTGGTTGTTAAAGTTACGAGTTGGTTGTGAAGGATATGCGTTAGTTGTGAAGATTAGTTAACAACAATCACAATCAACTCATTGTCGAGGCTCACAACCAACTCGTAACCTTCACAACACGAAACCTTCACAACTAACACGTAATCTTAACAACCAACTCATAACCTTCACAACCAATGCGTAACTCTCACAACCAACTCGTAACCTTCATAACCAATGCCTAACATTCACAACCAACTCGTAACATTGACAACCAACGCGTAACCTTCATAACCAATGTGTATCCTTCACAACCAACTCATATCCTTGACAATCAATGCGTAATCTTGACATCCAATACGTAACCTTCACAATCAACTCATAACCTTTCACACTCGACTTGTAACCATTTCATAACCAACTCGTACGCTTCACAACCAACACGTACAAATGACAACTAACTCATAAACTTCATAACCAAGTCGTAACCTTCAAAACCAACATGTAACCTTCATTCACCACCAATTCATAATCTTAACAACAAACTTATAATAGTGAAATAATAATAATATATAAATTTACATACTAATAATATATAAAGTTACATATTCTACTTTAATTTCAAGTCGTCGATTTAAAAAATTTACAACAATACATAAACTTAAGGGGGTTGGCGCATAACCCATCATCACCGTCTTCAAGATCGCAACTTTCTTCACCGCCAATGATGAACGCCGGGAAAGTTTCACCATCGACGTCGACCTCGTTGGAAAAATTTAGAGGGTACTAGAATTTTTCCCTAAAAACCCATTTCAAATCATCACAGTAACATTATGAAAAAGAAAGAGAGAGAAAGAGAGAAAGGGTATTATGGTCTTCACATGTTTTAAACTCTTGGGTTTTGTGTTTTGGGGGATCAAGAAATTATGGCTTTGCTTTTGGGGGTTTGGGAGCGTTGAAAAAGTCCTGGGGGAAGGTGGAATACTTGTAAGGAAGTTGGAGGTTAGAAGAAATTTTCCCATATATTTATATACAAATAACCCTGCACTAAATTAATATGGACACATTTTTAAAATCGTCCGTTTTTCAAATTTAATGAGCAAAATCAACCATTTCATAAAAATTTTAGCAAAATCGACCCTTTTCTGCACGGGACTACTAGTCCCGTGCAGAAAAGGGTCGATTTTGCTAAAATTTTTATGAAATGGTTGATTTTGCTCATTAAATTTGAAAAACGGACGATTTTAAAAATGTGTCCATATTAATTTAGTGCAGGGTTATTTGTATATAAATATATGGGAAAATTTCTTCTAACCTCCAACTTCCTTACAAGTATTCCACCTTCCCCCAGGACTTTTTCAACGCTCCCAAACCCCCAAAAGCAAAGCCATAATTTCTTGATCCCCCAAAACACAAAACCCAAGAGTTTAAAACATGTGAAGACCATAATACCCTTTCTCTCTTTCTCTCTCTTTCTTTTTCATAATGTTACTGTGATGATTTGAAATGGGTTTTTAGGGAAAAATTCTAGTACCCTCTAAATTTTTCCAACGAGGTCGACGTCGATGGTGAAACTTTCCCGGCGTTCATCATTGGCGGTGAAGAAAGTTGCGATCTTGAAGACGGTGATGATGGGTTATGCGCCAACCCCCTTAAGTTTATGTATTGTTGTAAATTTTTTAAATCGATGATTCTAAGTATTTTTTGGGAGAACTACATGGGACTACTAGTCCCGTGCAGAATCGATCCTGTTCTTTCAGGCGTGGAGCGGTCGGGGGATTTAGCAAAATCGATCATTTTCTACACGGGACTACTAGTTCTGTGTAGAAAAGAGTCGATTTTGCCAATTTTTTTTAATGGTCGATTTTGTTCATTAAATTTGAAAAACGGTCAATTTTAAAAAAATTGTTCAATTAATATTGTTATACGACTAGTAGCCCAAGGATAACTATATTATAATAACAAAATTATTATAGCGATTCAATACAAAAACATCCCTCTCAGCTCTAAACCCCACAAAAACAACATAATAATATCCCAATCAAACCCACCCCAAAAACTAATCAACCAACAATCTCTCATTAATCCATTCTCTAAACCACAATCAACCACCAAATCCTCCCTCGTTTCCGTTGTACCCTCACCCCTTATCATGGACCGCCTC